TCCTGTTGGAACACCAAAATATCTCTGGACATGAACAAATGTCCAGAGGGATGGGTGCAAGGAGTGAAAGGATCCACTCCAGTAGAAAATTGCAGTTCTAGCAGTACAGAAATGGATTGTTAGATCTCCCATATTCTCTGTGTTAATGCTCCTAAGGACCAGAAGGGCACACTCTGGAGGCCCTCCATTGGCAAGAAAATGTGAGCATTAGCAAAGGGAAAATAAGTAACCAAATAGAGAAGACTTGGTGTAGAATTCTAATGAAGCAGTGAATGTCATGAGTGTGTGCTGATTAAATATTTAACCACACATTTTGTAGAAATGTCAAGTTGTGTAAAGTTCCGGATTTTGGTGACTGAGCCAAGGGGAATAGCTACAGGTGACACCTGATCCTGATTCTGCTTCCAAATCGGCTCCTTGTCCCAGTCATTGGATGGGTGTGGGATAAGTTGGATCAAGTGAATGTTTACCTCTGGGGAACAAAAGGTTCGAGGTGGCCCAGTCCCTGGATGTCAGGGCTCCAACTTCTTCCTCTCCTCACCTGGCCCTGACTGTGGAGGCTGAGTCCACAGCTCTCTCCAGAAACACCAAGAATGTGCTGTTAGCACCAAGATGTCAGGCTGGTACCCAGGCTTAGACTTGGGTGGGGGTCTTGCCTTTCTTTAAGTTTCTATTTTAAATGGGCTTCCCTTTATAAAAACACTGCAAACTAGCACATGTGATGTAATCAGAAAATTCTTTGTAGAATCTCAAAATCTGTCCCCAAAACCAGTCATACATCAACTAATTAAATGCCTACATGTCACCTGTGTGACACAAATGGCAGAAGACCACAAGTCATGCTTTATAGGAGCTTCATAGGGAGGGAAGAACCATGGTGTCAGGTCCCACTCACTAGGGGAAAGGTGTACACAGAGTGCCCTGGGGTCTTGGAAAGGAGATCCTTAGAGTCATGTACATGATATGACACAATCAGTGGGCTGTCTTTGATATGGAATCGAGAATATATAAGGAGTTTTAACCTTAAGGGACTCAGGCAAGGACAGTGGAGGAGAAGACTTCAGATGGAGCAACGGCCTCAGCAGAAAACTCTGGCTGCTGCACAGAGATCTACCTGGAGTCCACAAGGGCAGTTGTGCAAGTCAAGGTCACAAGAGTCCACCTGACTCATAAAGTGAAGGCTCATAGGGGTCAGGCTATGGCGGTCAATAGTGTTGAGAGCTGTCTCTGATGCCAGAACCCCTGGCTCCTTTGGTTGCTCTGCCATCCACTAGCTGTGTGCCCTTGGTCAGGTTACTTGGTCTCTCCATCCCAACTGGCACAACTGGGGGGAAATGATATGCCTGCCTCATAGACTGGAACCCACACATCTCCCTTAGCTCACCAGAGGCCTGGTCTGTGCTACTGTCCTGGCGTTCCATCCATTCTGTGACCTCTTCTACCTTGTGGATTGCCCTCAGTTTGGCCAATAATTTCTTTATCACTCTGCTCAATGGGTTGTTGTGAAGATTAAAAGTGGTGGTTGCAGGGCCCTGCATCGACTAAGTGCTCTACAATGGTTTGCCATCTGTGTTTTGCTGAATCTGGAAGTAAGTAGCACAGGTAGGAGCCAGATTCTGAGAAGATTAACAGGTCACCAGGAGGTAGAATATGGTCAAAAGCAAAGTTATTTGTAAATCACACCTTAATAAAACTCTTCCTGAAAGAGTCAGTCTAATGTCAAAAAGAATGGATCAGAATATAGGGCTTATTTTGAACTCTGGGGTTTTCCTCCTAATGGAACAGGATTATCTCTAAATCTAGTAGAGAATGTAAAATAGCAGCAAGTTTCAGGGGTCTCTAAGAGTCTGAACTGTCCTACACAGGCGATGAGAACAGCTTTCTCAATGTTACAAATTAATCCCTGGCAGCTGATGTGGAGGCAATCCCTTCTCTGTGCCTAGGCCATTGTGAGGACTTACCCACTGTAACTCACTCCAGCCTCAGCACAATCCCACATGGTTCCCATTGTATGAGGAGACCCAGCTGAGACAGCTCCACAGCAGCATTGGCCTGAGGCCTGGAGAGCAGGTGGTCCAGGAGTGGCCGGGGTACCGTTTAGGGGGAAACATCTGGCTGCCATCAAGGCATCTCCAAGACCAGGGCCTTTCCTGAAGTTTTTGGCTTGGGAAAGCACTACCCCGCCCAACTTCCAGACCTTGGTGTGATCGGAAAGTAGGAGCGATTCCCATCCAAACCATCCTGGAGTCTAATGTCAGCCCTGGAAGTGAGGGGCAGAACCAGCTTTACAGAATGAGTGAAAAAGAAAAACATGAAGTATGTTGTGCCCACAGGCTGTGGGGCTGATTTCTAGGACTATCTTACAATAAACAGAAGTCTGGTATCATCTCGTCTTCAGAACTCTTTCATAGGCTTGGTGCCGATGCATGAATCACTGAGGAAAAATAGCTTCTGCTGAATGTCATTACTTTCATTCAACCTGAAAAGACCTGAGATGACTGAAATATAAGTGTGAGTATATCTCAGGTCTTCAGTGACCCTGGGGATAGGCCCAATATCATTCTGACTTACCACACATGTACCTATTCCCATACTCAAGTTATCCAGGGTAAAATCTGAATAGTTCTCCTCTACAGCATGGTTGGTCATAGCAGGCAATCAGTAAATGTCATACCAACGTGGAAACCAAAGGCTACCTCACTCCTCCAGCTCTGAATTTAATTTGGGCACCTGAGTCAACATACCTTTGGGGTGACAAAACAGCAAGCAGGCTGGCAATACCAGCATTTGCACCTTTCAGGCTCTTCTTCTGCTTCAGAACGCTTACTTTTAAATGAGTCTTCTGGGAGTAAAATTATAGTCCTAGTCCTTTCACACACCAGGAATGGTCACTGAGTGCTATGGAGAAGACAGGGGGATGAAGAAACACACACCACATTGTACGTGACCTGGGATTGCTTTTGCTGAGGACAAAACCTGGGCAGGGTCCAGTGTCGCAACAGACAGCAGAGCAGATCCATAATGATCTGCACCTGGGCACTGGTGCACCCACTGGGCACCTGGCAGAGCCCTCAACCACCTGTTCAATGAGTCATGCTCCATTTCCTTATGAAAGTCTTTCCCTTGACTTTGGAATGAAGATCACCACCAGTGGTCAACAGGGAGAAAGTACACATGTAAGAACGTAACTTTCTTTCCATTTCTAGCTTCTTCCTGAATCAATATTGTTCTTGGTGACTTTGGATCAGGACAATGATGGAAAGACATGGGTCTCCAACAATCCCGACAGAAAACAATGCATCCACAGGTGATTGACTGTTGATACATCTCTCAGGCTCTCTCTCACCTGTTTTTCTCTTTACTCTCAGCCAGCTTTGTTTCTCTTGTTCCTCCATATCATCCCTGCTTAGGCTGATGTGGTGTTTCTGTCCTAGGAGGCTGTGCTGACCCTCGCTGACACCAAGAGGGACATGTTGCCTGTGTCCCTCAGCTGGCCAAGTGCCACCTGTACTCAGAGCCTTTGTTTTTGCTTCCCTTTGCTTAGACAACTCTTCCCAGAAGGTGCCCTTCATTTCACCAGTCACTCAGGTGAGCTTAAAAGTCCCAGTGCAATCGCCTGCCTGGACCTCCTGCAGGATGCTGCCCAAGTGGTCGTTTTGCTGTCTTGACACAATCACTTTCCTTTCCTCTCCTACTCTCTTGCAGTCTTGTTTTGTCACTTCGGGTTAGAGGAAAGCTGCACAAGTGCAAGGTCCTGCTTGACTTGTTCCTACAATGGAATCTGTGACACATAGCATGGGGCCCATCCTAGGAGATTCATGATTGTTAGGAGCATGGATGTCTACATGAATGGATGGGTGAAGGATGGATACATGGATGGAAGGATGGATGGATGGATGGATGGATGGATGGAGGAAGGATGAATGGAAAAAAGACCCTCTGATGTACTCCCAAGAACTCTGTTTTTGGGCCTGTGATAGGCTCTTGACCTAATTGTCAGCCATCCTTACGAAGCCAGGCATGAGATCACGTGTGCCCGCTTCAGAAATGAAGAAAAGGAACCTCGGGGCAACCAGCACTGTAAATTTCCTGAGAACACGTCATGACTAGGTGTGCATCCGAGATTCCAATCTACAGCCGCATGAGCCCAGGTTCCGACCCTTTCACCTTTCAGCACTACCTGGCCCCTGATGATCTCTAATCCTACTTCTCACATCATCCTTTGAATCAGTGGAGCTAAAACTCTAAGGAACTAACAAAAACTAAACCTAATTCTAAATTTATAACTAATTTTATATCATTGACTTAACTAAATGAGAGTATTTTGTGAAAACAGCCTTCAAAGAAGGTGAGAAATGATTTCTATTTCCCAAGGAAAAGCATCTGGGTTGCAGTCCTTGGGTGAGGAAAGTGAGTTGTCCAGAGGCAGCATGTGGAATGGTACTTAGCCCATGTGTTTGCAGAATCAGGAGGAACACAGACTGAATGTGAAATGTGTTCTTGTACCCTGAAGAGGTAAAAGAGAAACAAGAGGAGTAAGAGGGTCGGGGCAGAAGAGGAGGGGAGGAGGGTGGTGGAGAAGGTGGACGAGTTGAAGGTGAAGAAGGAGGAGGAGGGAGGAGGGGAAAAGGAATTGGGAAAGGGGGAAGAGATAATGAGGACCACAACAAGAATAAAGCAACAGGGATGACAAGAGAGGCTCACAAGGGTGTCATTTGCCTTATGACTTTGCAAGCACTATTGCATTAAGTTTGTCTAATGTCCTTAGCATTATTGCAGTTCCCAGATGTTTGAGGGTTTTCAAAGCTCTGTCCCTTTTAGTTGTACAGAGTCCAAGTGGGCTGGTTCTGGGAGATTCTCCCAGTCCCTTCCTGAGGTTTGTCCTGTGACTCATCCCATCATCCATGGGAGGGATTAGGGTGGCCACCAGGCAAATAAAAGCCTGTGTTCTGGACAGTCACCTCCAACAGGAGCTCCTTCTTCCTGCCACATCAGAGTGACCGGCCCACAGCAGCTGCCTGAACCATGAAGCTGGTGGCAGTCCTCATGCTGACCGCCCTCCCCCTTTACTGCTATGCGGGTGAGTATGGGGACAGTGCGGGCTTTGGAGGGGGGCTGTGCTCAGGGCCCCTGTACAAGTGCTGCTGCTCCCCAATCCCACCCCACCCAGCCCATGCAGAACAGCCCATTTCTCTAGTGTCTGTGCTGTGTGTATGGGGCTTAATGGGGCAAGGACAAGGAGGCAGATGCTTTAGGGCTCAAGAAAACCCCAGGTCCTGAGTTGAGTCTCCTAGAACTGAGGACTCAGACCCTTCCCCAGCATCTCTGAGCATATGTCCCTGTGAGGAGGTAAGAAGATGACAGAGTCACAATCAGGCCCCACACGGAGGTCATGCCTCGGTCACTGAGCCTGTGTTTGCATGCTTTCATCCCAGGGTCCGGCTGTGAAACTTTGGAGACTGTGATCTCTATGACTGCTAATCGTAATGTGAGCGTGAGTGAATTAATCAATTACGTTCAAGATTTCATACCAGGTGAAGATACTGAAAAAGCCATAATATTCCTGAAAGAAGGCTTTTTCCATCTGAGTGAAGAGACTGTGGAGAAGTTTCTAGAGCTGCAGGTAATTTTTCTGTGTCTTGAACTGCTTTTGAACTGAGAGACAGGACATGCAGGCTCTCCGTTTGTGACAACTCTTTTGAAGCACGTGATGGTCATGCTTGTCAGGAAGATGCCTTCCATCTTATTAATTCAACCTTCAGTGCACTGTCAAGCAACCTGGGTGTGCTAGCACCCGTGGGTGGATTCCTTGACTGTGAATTAAAGACCCCAGAGTGACACGTGGAATCCATGGGTGTGAATCTCCCCTAGGCAGTTGGAAAGCTGAGAACAGAAATCAGTGGTTTCACAGGAGGCAGTCTTTCCATGTATGCCATGTGTTGTGTAGTGTTTTCTAGTGCTTGTTCCCTGCCCTGATATACTGTTCGCAACATTCCAGGGTAACCACCTGGACATAGTGCCACAGCACAAAGAGGCAAGTGCACACCCCTAAGAAATTCCTGACACAGGGGATGGCATGGATGAACCTGGAGTTACTATGAGAAAAACAATGAGCCAGTCACCAAACGACAAATATCACATTTTGTAGAGTAGCCAATGTGTTAGACACAGAGGTTGAAGAGTGGTTTCCAGGGAGGGTGGGAGGAACTCTGCAGGTGGGGAGGGTCTGCAGCTGCACCTTAGCACAATGAGAAGGTCCTGGAGGTCGGGTGTGCTGCTGACCAAATGTTCTTCACATGAATAGCTGTGCGCTGAAAGTGATGAAACAGTAATATTTGTATGTGTATTTATTGTAATTTAAAAATGATTAAATTACAGCCCCTTCATTTCAAGATGATGGGAATATTCTTTAAATATTCAGTAGACAAATCATGAGGAGCACACACCTGCAAAGTTTTGTTGCCCACAGAAGCTGTGGGTGGGGAGGGCATGGGGCTGTTTGCTCTTCTTCCGAGGTGCAGGAACTCAGAACTTCACATTCCGTCATTTTTGGGCTGAGTTACTGAAAACTGAAACACAGCCTATTGTTGGCTACATTATTTCAATGATAAGGAAACGTGCAGATAACCTGACCAAGGGAACCAACCCTGGGGGGACAAGATTGGACACCAACAGCCTTTGGCATCACTCATGGTCACCTGAGATAGAACAAATGGGATTCTTCCAGCTTCTCTTCCAGCACCAGCTTCCTGCCAGTGCATGTGGACCCATCCAGGAAAACAAAGAGGAGGCATGTTTATTCTCCAGGATGTTCCTTGGTAAGAACAGGTGAGACATCAGTGATGTCTCTGTTTTTGTTTTCCAGGAAATGATATTCAGCAGCTTTTGGTGTGCTCAGTACTAACTTCCACACGACCTCAGAGACTGTTCACACACCGACTGTTCACAGGTAGAAGCCACAGCTCAGCTTTCCTTCTTCATCTTTGGATCTACAAATGCAAGACAATTGTGAAACCTCACATGCATTCTCATTTCATTAAAGCATCTGCAAAACGAAAGTTGTTTCTTGGTGGTTGAATAAAATGGAGGCTTTAGGGAGGCTTACGTCACACATGCATTTCTCACACACACGAGTGTGCACACCCACCAGCGCACAATCATTCTTTACCCAGCTCGAGGGTAAGGTGCTGAGAAACTGAAAGTCACCCTGTCCCCGACCACCCACAGCTGAACACTGATCCTTTCACTGGCATGCGACTGTCCTCCCTCATCCCTCCCCGAGGTCCATCTGGGAACGTTCAGGCTCTCAGGTCCCAGTAGTGGTGGCCTGCTCAGGTTCTCGGGTCCATGGCATGTCTCACATTGATGCTGTGACCACTTACCATGGCTGGGCTCCACTCTGGGTATTCATTGTCCTGGACACCAGGTCTCCACCCAGTGCTGACAAACACCCTCATCATGCGTGTGCATGAAACCCCCACTCAGTGCTGATGAAGATCCTCACCCTCAATTCTCACCCCTAAGAGGGAATTCTCACTCCACAAGTGAACCCCTATGGGAGAAACTGTTTTTCCAAACAGTAAAGGAATGTCATCACCTTCTCCTGACAAGGCACTGAGCCTTGTCTTAATGTCCACTTTCCACACTCAGGTTCTGATTTGTTGGGCTTCCTCCTGGGACAGTCAGGCAGCTGTGATGGCCCCTCCTAGCCAAGCAGTGGCTCCTGTGTTTCCCCCTCTTCACCCCCTGGAGTATGCCCCCACTGAGCTTGCCTCCACTGGTCACTGGTGAGCTTCCCAGGGGCTATCAGGCAGGGTGTGCTTTGGGCAGCTTATGCCTCAAAGACGCTTTTACACCTTACCAGCACCCCCATGTTACTTTGATCCCTTTCACAAAAATGTTCATTCCCTGGTTTATTTCAGGGGCTTTCACCTGCTTCGCTCCTTGCTGGCCTGGTGCATTTTCATTGGTGTGGATTGGACATATTTGGCCACGGACGGATTCTTGGGAGCCAACCTCCCCCCACCCCCCATCTGGGCTCCTCACATGCTTGCCATGTGGCACAGGCACTCTGGTGCTGGTGCTTCCCTGCCCCCATCTCCAACATTCCTTCCACTCCTTCGAGGGACCTAATCCTCTGGTGTTCACTGGTGCTGCCATCACAATCAACATGGTACATGGAGACTTTCCTAAGTAATGCAAGCACTGCCCTCTGACTGACCTCCCCAACTATATCATGAGACAAGATGGGCACCTGGGAAACATGTGAAAACATCAACTGCCCCCTAACTGCACTGGGGCAGCTTGGGTGTGACCTGAGGCAGGTGGGGCCAATGTGGTCCAGCAGCCGAGTCTGAGGAGTTGGGGGACTTTCTCTGGCCACCTGATCCAGGGGCTGACCTCTGGTTCTCCACTCTTGCTCTAGGGATCCTAGAAACTACCATTGCTCAGGTCCTGAGCCCCCTCCTCCCTTCCAAGCTAGTGACCAGTCCAATGAGAGCATGGCCATTTCAGTGACTACAGTCATATTTCTCCTTCTGACTCCCCATCACAGGCCTTCTGTTGCTCCCTCCACACATCCAGCCCAAGGGCAGATATGTGAACTCCTCTCCAAACGGGACACGTCAATCAGTGAGCAAAGGCCAACTTCTGCATGTGCGTGCAGAGCACCAAGATTCAGCAGGGACCACGAGTTCCTAATAAACAAGTGTGCGTGTAGGGGGTGTGATAAGCAAAATGTTAAGATGTGAGGTGTGGGTGCAGGGACATGGTCCTTTGGTCTGGGCCTCATATTGTCACCAATGCAGAGGTGCTGTGGAGAAGTAGAAGGATGTTCCTTATTATGACCTACTGAGTCTTAGGTACTTTCAGCCTCTTCTTTATGCATTGATATAAAGAAAAATAGGACTTCTGGCCAAGATGGAGTCAAAGGTAGATATGCTTCACCTCCTCACACAACCAGAAAAAGGAAACATCCAATTTTAAAAACAAAAGTCAACCAGAAGTACCAGAACATTGAATTGAATGGAAGCCTGGCAACTAAGGAGATAAAGAAGCAACACTCAACTGGCGGGTGGGCGCCACCAAAATGAGCAGATGGGCCCCTGAGGACCCATGACATGGTGGCCACTGGTGCACAAGGCAGTACCACACTGGTGTGCAGATAAACTGGGAGGGACACCTGGGGAGTGAGACAGGCAGCAGAACCTAGGGTTCCAGAGTGGGCAAAATAAACCCTCAGAAACTCTGGCTGTTAATACCTGTGGGGGTTGTGACACTGGGAGAAACTGCCAGTCTTTTGAAAGAGTGGTGAGAGCCTAGCAAGGGGCATTGTTTCCTCTCTGTGCCCTCCTCCACATACAGCTCCACAACACATCCATGTGGGTTGCCCCACCATGGAGAATACCTAAGTCTCTACCCATTATAACATAACAGGTATGTCTAGAGAAAGAAATATAGGCCCCCAAAGATAAAAAACTATGAACACTAAATTGACAACAAACTCCCAGTTATCAACAACTGAACATAAAAGAACAAAAACTAAGCAAACAAGTAGAATAGGATCAGAATCAGAGAAATGCACATGATGTGGAGAGTTTTCAGTGGGGATGAGGAGGGGAAGAATGGGGGGGGGGGTAAAGGTATGAGGAATAAGAAGCATAACTGGTAGTCATGAAATAGATGGGGAGAAGTTAAGTTTGGTATAGGAAAAAGAAGTGAAGGAACTTATTTGAACAACTCAATGAATATGAACTAAGGGGGGAAATGCTGGAGGGTTGTAGGGTACATGGCAGAGGAGAGAGAAAGGGGAAAAATTGGGAAAACTGTAATAGCATAATCAATAATTATACTTAAAAAATTCAATATGGTCCAGATGAAAGAACCCACCAAAACTCTAGAACTAGAACTAGGTGAATAGGAGATCGCACCTATCAGATGCAGTGTTCAAAACACTAGTAATCAAGATGCTCACTGAAATGATTGAGTACAGCCCCAAAGTAACGGAAGAAGTGAAGGCTATACCAAGTGAAATAAAGAAAAATGTACAGGGAACCAGTGGTGAAGGGAAAGAAACCAGGACTCAAATCAATCATTTGGAACAAAAGGAGGAAGGAAATATTCAACCAGAACAGAATGAAGAGACACGAATTCAAAAAAAAATGAGGAAAGAAAACACGACTCTGGGACATCTCCAAATGTGCCACATCCACATCATAGGGATGCCAGAAGGAGAAGAGTAGGAGCAAGAAATTTAAAACTGATTTGAAAAAATAAAGAAAATTTTCCCAATCTGAGAAAGGAAATGGACATACAAGTCCAGGAAGCTCAGAGAGTCCTGGAAGCTTTGGATCCAACAACTTGAATCCAAAGAGGACTACATGAAGACACATTGCCCAAGGTTAAAGATAAGGAAGGAACCTTAGAAGCAGTAAGAGAAACAAAGAGAGTTACCTACAAAGGAGTTCTCATAAGACCGTCTGCTGATTTCTCAAAGAAATCTTGCAGGAAAAATGGGACTGGAAAGAAGTATTCAAAGTCACGTGAAGTAAAGACCTACAGCATAGATGACTCTATCCAGCAAAGCTCTCATTGACAATGGAAAGACAGATCAAGTGCTTTCCAGATAAGGTCAGACTAAAGGAGTTCATCATCATGAAGCTCTTATTATATGAAATGTTAAAAGGACTTATTAAGAAAAAGAAGATCAAAACTATGAACAGGAGAATGACAACAAACTCACAGCTGTCAACAACTGAACCTAAAAACCCAACAGAACAAGCACAAAATAAGCAAAAAACCAGAAGAGGAACAAAATCATAGATATGAAGCTCATCTGGAGAGTAATCAGCAGGGAGGAGGAGAAGGGAGAATGGGGGAAGCTGCAGGGAATAAGAAGCATGAATGGTAGGTACAAAATAGACAGCGGGATGGTAAGATAGCCTAGTTAATGGAGAAGCCAAAGAACTTACATGTATGGCTCATGGACATGAACTAAGGGAGGGAAATGCTAGAGGAACTAGGGGACCAGGCAGAGGAGGATAAAGGGGAGAAAGGAACAATGGGACAAGTGTGATAGCATAATCAAGAAAATATAATGAAAAAATAGACCCCACAAGATTTATTGGTACATATTCATTATTACTATAGTCACTTTGGTTTAACAGTTTTGAAGAACTTAAAGTATTTTTGTGGAACCTAAAAGTATTGATTGCCTATTTCCCTGTTTGTTTTTTTTTCCTGATGGAAGAGTCAGCCCTGGAGGGAGCTGAATTGTCCAGAGAAAGGTCAGGGGTCATTCTGGTTGAGGGGATAGCCTGGGAAGGAAGTGGGACCCACAGTGGTGTGAGCAGGAGGGTGTTCATAAATTTGTTTGTGCAGAACTCTGGGGACTGGAAAAGGTAAAAGGGCTGAGGTCCAATTTCAACATCTCCTGCTTTGCTTTATTCCTGTGAAACACACGCATGTCCCTCAAAACCCACTGCCTGTAGGTCACAGTGGGAACAAGAAAATAGGTCAATTTCTTCTTGTAGGGAGAGTCACACAGATTAAGGGAGCACCAATAATCTCAGTCATAGAATTTTTTTGGTGAAAGTTTGTTGTAAATCAAAATAAACATCATTTATCAATTTTCAGGATTAAGAGAGGATATGGCCCTGCTTTGTTTGAGTCACCTATCTCACTGGCTCAGTTTTCCTGGCACCTGGGTCCAGGAGAGAGAATGCCCTGCCAGCTGTGGGGAGCAAGACACAGTGATTTCCCTGTCCCTTAGAACTTGTCATCTCCCTGGTGTGTGTTTACCAGTTTGAAGACTAAAACCCGAGGCTATTCCTGGGATGTCATCCTGACACCTGAGGGACATGTGTGCCTGTGCATCCTGCTGAGGACAGAGTCCAAAGACCCTGCTTGCTCTGGGTAGGTAACACCCATCCCCACCCACCACCCTCCTCTACCCTTAGTTCCAATATTCCCTAATAGGGTTTTAATA